ATCGGAAATCGACGATGTTTGCTTATTGGGGCTCTCTCGGGGTGCCTCTTGGAGCGTTTTCGGGGCCTTCGGGGGCCTTCTTGGCGTCATGGGAATCGTCTTGAAAAGCGTCTGGAGCCATCGCTGCGGCCTCCCGGGGCCTCCCTGCAACCTCTTGGGGCCCTGCTGGCCCCAAGAGGTTGCATATTTGCGGCCCTGGCCCCGTATTTGTGGTCGTGGCGCCGGCCCCCGGGCCCTCGGAAACGAACCCACGACGCGAAATCAATATCGAAGATGGGGCCGAGTGCTCCCAGAGACCTCCGGGGTCGAGTGCCCCTTCCTTTCCCTCCTCTTATCCCTCCTCCTTCTGTCCCTCCTCTCCTTCTGCATGTCATCCTCGTCTCCCGCATATTCCGGCTCGCACCTCGAACGGGTCGTGCCGAACAGGGACTGCAATCGACGGCCCCCGGCAATGTTCGCATCCGATCCACCCGAGTCGGCAAACCCCTGACACGGGTCTTGGCCCACAAGAAGATCCACCTACGGCCCCAGAGACAAGGTTCGCATGGCATCTTGGATGCCTCTCGCCGGCGCATTAGAACCAAGTTTTGAGCCTCTTGGGGGCCTCTTGGAGGCCTCCTGGGTGCGTCTTGGGGTGCTTTGGGGGGCCTCTTGGGGCCTCTGGGGGGCCTATCGGCGCCTCCTGGGGGCTCTTGGGACCGAAAGCTCGGAAATCGAAAGCGGCTGTCTTCTTCTGGGACCCCTCTCGGGCGCTTCTTGGGCTTCTCTTGGGCCGTCTTGGGGGCCGATTGGGCAGTCCTGCGTTCCTCGTAGGCCGTCTTGGAGATTTCTTGGGGGCCTCCTAAGCCGTTTTGGGGGACCTCTTGGGCCGTCTTGGACGCGGTGACAGCCCAAGAGGCGAGCATGCGAAAAATATACGTATTCCCATAGGAATGGAAGGATTTTAGTTTCTTGGGGCTCTCTTGGGGTGCCTCTTGGAGCATCTTGGGGTGCTTTGGGGGGCCTGCTCGGGACCTCTTGGGGGCGTATCGGCGCCTCCTGGGATCTCTTGGGGCCGAAAGCTTGGAATTCGAGAGTGGCTTTCTTGCTCTGGGACTCCTCTCGGGCGCGTCTTGGGGCTCTCTTGGGCCGTCTTGGGGGCCCATTGGGCCGTCCTGGGCTTCTCGTGGCCCGTCTTGGAGCTCTTTTGGGGGCCTCCTAGGCCGTCTTGGGAACCCCTTGGGCCGTCTTGGACGCGATGACAGCCCAACAGGCGAGCATACGACAAATATGCGTTTTCCCACAGGAATGGGACGATTCTTGCTTCTTGGAGCTCTCCCTCTTGGAGCGTCTTGGGGCGCTTTGGGGAGCCTTCCGGGCGCTTCTTGGGGGCTTCTCAGCACCTCCTGGAGACACTTGGGGTCGAAAGCTTGGAAGTCGATGGTGGCTTTCCTCCTCTGGGGCCCTCTCGGGCCCGTCTTGGGGACTCTCTTGGGCCGTCTTGGGCCCTTCGTGGGCGGTCCTGGAGCTTTCTGGGGCTGTATTGGGCCCTCTGGGGCGCGTCCTGGGCAGTATTGGGGCGGTCTTGGGAGCTCCTGAGGTCGTCAAGCACGGACCGACAGCGAAAACAAGCAATATGCTAAGAACATACGTTTTACGAGAAGGAATGGGGCTATTTTGGCCCCTTGGGGCTCTCTTTGGGGCCCTATGGGGGGTCGCTTGGGGTGTCTTGGGGGCTTCTGAAGCCGGCTTGGAGGCCATATTGGGCGTCTGGGAGCGACCTTCGGGCGTCCCGGGTCTGTTCTGGAGCCTCTTGGGGCCTCCTTGGCGCCTTCTGGCGCCCGGACCCGGGCGCCCGGACCCAGTGCGCCGTTATGTGTATATATATATATATACATATATATATATGTATATATGTATACACATATATATATATATATGTATATATATGTGTATATACACATACATAAATAAATATATATATATATATGTGAGTGTGTGTGTGTGTGTCTCTTCGTCCCTTGTCACGTCAACTCTCATGGGCAGGGTTTCTGAATGGGCTGGTGTGGGTAAGCGAAAAGTGTAACATAAGAGATTTGTACCCCTATTCTTCGTATCATTTTAACTCCTCCTCCTCCTTCTCCTCCTCCTCCTGCTCCTGCTCCTCCTCCTCCTCCTCCTCCTCCCTCCGCATCCTCCCGTCCCTCCTCCCTAATCCCTCCATTCTCCCTCGTCGCAAGCAGAGGCGATCTCTCCAGAGGGGTGTCGAAACCACGGAGCGTTACGGACCCCGGCTCCCCCAGTCGTGGTTGGTCTACACTGAGAGGCGCAGGAGCGGGAACGGAAGCCCAGGAAGAGGCAGGAGAGCGGCAGAGGGCAAGCTACAGTAGGGGCTCGACCACCAGAAACCTTCCACAGGAAATCCAACCTTGAGACCCCAGGACGTCCATTGATTTTCGGTGTGGGGAACGTCACGCTTTCCATAGCAGCAACACCATCGAAACCCATGAAGCCAAGGGCACCCTGGAGGCAAGCAAGGTGTTTCTTGGCATGGGTCTCCTCTGTAGGTGCGCTCGCGCAACATACGGTCAGACCTAGGACAGAGGAACATCGTCCAGGAACATGAGACACTCCGCCGGCAAAACTGAGAACAATCGAGGGTGCCATCCCCCAGGATGCACAAGAGAGTTCAACAAGCACGAAGAGCATTAAGGTGCTCTCCACAATCCGATCTCGATCTTCTACCTCGGGCCGTCGTATGATATCCTGTCCCCCCCTCCCATCCCTTCCCACTGCGGTCGCGTGCCATAGCCGACCTGAAATTCGACAAAGAAACAACAAAAACGTGTGCTGCGCAATCGGAAAAGGGGAGCCGCGTAGGAGGAGGAGGAGAAGGAGGAGGAGGAGGAGGAGTTCGAGGAGGAGTTCGAGGAGTTCGAGGGGGAGGGGGAGGAGGAGGAGGAGGAGGAGGAGGAGGAGGAGGAGGAGGAGGAGGAGGAGGGAGGAGGGAGAGGAGGAGGAGGAGGAGGAGGAGGAGGAGGAGGAGGAGGGGGAGGAGGAGGAGGAGGAGGAGGAGGAGGAGTTCGAGGAGGAGTTCGAGGAGTTCGAGGGGGAGGAGGAGGGAGAAGGAGGAGGAGGAAGAGGAGGAGGAGGAGGAGGAGGAGAACAAGGAGGAGAACGAGGAGAACTAGGAGGAGGAGGAGCAGGAGAACGAGGAGGACGAGGAGGGGGCTGGTGCGCAGGAGGATGGGCAGGAAGAACCTTCGATGAGACGGGGGGACCGGCGCCGCCCCTGACGCGCTCCGCGCGCCAGGGAGGCGGGGGGGGGTCCAGCGCCAATCCAGGAAATCCGCGCGGAGCTCCAAAAGCGTACAGTCGACCCGCATCATAAGGACGCACGAGAAGGCCACAAGGGCCCTGGAAGACGGTGCCGACACTTCGCGGGCGGGGCGCGGCCAGCAATAGCGGCGAAGGATGGACCGAGGAGGCAGGGCTGCTAGGGTACCCATCGGTCGGAAGAAGTGGGTAGAAAGGTGAAGTAGGAAGGCGTCGAAAGAAGATGAGGTGTCCGCCCGCCCCCTGAAGAGGACGGAAAAGGTGAAGCCACTCGCTCAGCGAAGCAGGAAGGCGCTGAGAGCAGACTGGAAGCTGGGAATCCAAGCGGGCTGGCTGCGTGCTCACGCTGCTGCCTCCTTCGATGGAGAGGGCGGCGTCCTTTTCCACCGCCACCGCAAAAAGTAGGATGGGGAGGAGGAAGAGGAGAGGAGGACGAGGAGGAGGAGGAGGAGGAGGAGGAGGAGGAGCAGGAGGAGAAGGAGGAGGAGGAGGAGGAAGAGGAGGAGGAGGAGGAGGAGGAAGAGGAGGAGAAGGAGGAGGAGGAGGCGGAGGCGGAGGAGGAGGAGGAGGAGGAGGAGGGGGTCCTCCGAGGCGCGGAGGCCCCCCCGAGGCGCAGCCAGTGGCCAGCCGGGGGCGGCCAAGAGCGGGGCGCCCGAGAGGGGGAGGGGGGTGCAGATCGTGGCCGGCGGCCATGTGCGCGGCTCCACGGGGGGGGGGGCCAGGGACGTCGTGAGATAGGAGGAGGCGCCGCATGAGATCTGGAGGAAGCCGCCGATCCGGCGCGCGAGCTTGAAGGAGCCTTGGATGCAGCCTCAGCTTCAGTTCCTGAGCTTCTGCTTTGCTGGGGGGTGGGTGCTGGGGTGGCTCTGCCGGGGTCGGAGGGAGGGGGGGGGGGCGCGCTGTGCTGCGTTTTCCGGAGGGGGGGAACACAGCAGAGTGCCACCCCGGATGCCAGAGAGCCCAAGATTGCTACAATATTTCCAAGACGGCCCAAGATGTACCCAAGACGGCCCAAGATGGCGTCATGACGGCGCAAGAGGCCTTCAAGGGGTGTAAGACGGCCCAAGACGTCTTCAAGAGTTCCCAAGGCCCGAAGAACGCCCGAAAGGCCCCCCAAGAGGCACCCAGAGCACTCCAACAGCACCCCCAAGAGGGGCTCATGAAGCAAAAATCGTATGTTTTCCGATAGTTGTTGACGGATTTTGACATGCTACATTTTCGGGTTTCCAACGCTCCAAGAGGGCCCAAGAGGCCCCCAAGATCACACCAAGACGGCCAAAGAGGCTCCTGGCCTCTTGAGCCGTCTTGGGCCTTCGGAAAGCCAAAAAGGAAGAAACTCCCGAATCCTTCAAAAACCAACAGGAAATCAGTGGTTTGGGCCTCTTCGGGCGTTCCTGGAGGTCCACTGGGAGGCCTCTTGGGCCGCCTTGGAAGCCTCTTGGGGGCTGCTTAGGCCGTCTTGGGCCATCGTGAGGCGATCCCTCCCTCCCCCTCCCTCCGCCTCGTCCTCCACCTGCTCCTCCACCTCCCCCTCCACCAACCAGATCGCACCGGCAGCGCTCCCGGATCGGCGGCACTGGCCGGAGGCCACTACACTGTCATGGCCCACGCCATGGCATCCACCCCCCCCAGTCGTCAACCCCCCCCTCTGTGCCGCCCCCGAGCCAGCAGGGCGGGGCGGGCGCCCGGAGAAGAGGGCGTTGTGGCCCACGTACTGCACGATGGCGCCGGACGATCGCTCCAGCTTCTTGCGCGTCCCGCCCTGCTTGCCTGCGCGGGGCCGGAGGCAGCACGCTGCCCCGGCTCTGCCTGCTCCTGGCCTGGCCTCCCCTTCCTCCTCGTCGTGCTTGCCCGCCTCCTCTCTCCAGCACCGCTGACTCCTCGCCCCCCTGCTACCCCCACTCCCCAACTCCGCGTCCTCCTCCACCTCCTCCTCCTCCTCCTCCTCCTCCTCCTCCTCCTCCTCCTCCTCCTCCTCCTCCTCCTCCTCCTCCCCCTCATCGTCGTCGTCATCATCAGCATCGTGGTCAGACTCATCCTCCTGCTCCTCCTCCTCCTCCATCATCAGCATCATCATCATCATCATCATCATCATCATCATCATCATCATCATCATCATCATCATCATCATCAGCATCATCATCAGCATCATCATCATCATCATCATCATCATCATCATCACCCCACCACCACACCACCACCACCACCATCATCATCATCATCATCATCATCATCATCACCAGCATCATCATCATCATCAGCAGCAGCAGCATCATCAGCATCAGCAGCATCAGCATCAGCATCAGCATCATCATCAGCATCAGCATCAGCATCAGCATCACATCAGCATCATCATCATCAGAATCAGCATCAGCATCAGCATCATCATCATCCTCATCATCATCATCATCAGCATCATCATCATCAGCATCAGCATCAGCATCAGCATCTGCATCAGCATCATCAGCATCATCAGCATCAGCATCAGCATCAGCATCAGCATCAGCATCATCATCATCCTCATCCTCATCATCATCATCAGCAGCAGCATCATCATCTGCATCATCATCATCATCATCAGCAGCAGCATCATCATCATCATATTCGTCGTCATGATAATCAGCAGCAGAATCAGCATAAGCATCAGCATCATCGTCATCATCATCGCCGTCACCATCATCATCAGCAGCAGCAGCATCACCACCACCACCACCACCATCATCATCATCAGCATCATCATCATCATCATCATCAGGCATCATCAGCATCATCAGCATCATCATCATCATCATCATCACCACCACCACCACCACCACCACCACCATCATCATCATCATCATCACCAGCATCATCATCATAATCATCATCAGCAGCAGCAGCATCAGCAGCAGCATCAGCATCAGCATCATCATCATCAGCATCAGCATCAGCATCAGCATCAGCATCATCAGCATCATCAGCATCAGCATCAGCATCAGCATCAGCATCATCATCCTCATCATCATCATCATCAGCAGCATCATCATCTGCATCATCATCATCATCATCATCAGCAGCAGCATCATCATCATCATCATATTCGTCGTCATGATAATCAGCAGCAGAATCAGCATCAGCATCAGCATCATCATCATCCTCATCATCATCATCATCATCATCAGCATCATCATCATCATCATCATAATTACCATCATCATCGTCATCATCATGTCGTCTCACCTGTATAGCGACCGGCGGTCGAGCATGCGTTTTCGGTCGCCCATTTCACGTACTTCGCCTCCTTCTAGTCATGGGTTTGCTGAACTCGCCCATTTCTGATCAAGCATACCACTCGTGTCGACGCCCTTGCCCCTTTCGCACGGCAGTATGTATTTGCAGGCTTGCACCTGTCATAAGCTAGCGACTGGGAAAACTCACGACTGAAGCTGCCCGCACTGTATCCGTCTCCGTGCCTCGAGGCACGAGAATGTCCTCAGGTTCCTTGGATCCTCCGTCCTCAGTCCTGAGGATTGAGTGTTCAAGGGCCAGGCCCCAAATTGCCAGATTTCCTTGCGCGTGTCTACTGTATGATAAATCAACACACGCAGCAAAACAACTAAAAAAGGGCCGGCAGAAAGAGAGACAGAGAGAGAGAGACTAACAGACATACAGACAGAAGACAGACGGACAGACAGATAGACAGAGAGCCAGAAAGACAGACAGCCAGCCAGGCGAGCGGACGGACGGACAGACGATCAGACAGACGGACAGAAAAACAGGACAGACGGACAGTCAGGCTGAGACAGAGAGAGAGGGGGGGGGGGGGGAACGACGACGACGGCGACGCGTCGCATGCCCCCCTCTTCCCTTCTCCCTGCCGCACGGGGCTCGACCAGGGACGTGGCCTTGGCCTTGACAGCCGCGCGGCCCTCGCGCGCCGAGCCCACCACGTCGGGGGAACGCCCACCGAGACCACCTCATCGAGCCTTTGCGCGTGGCTGGGCGCCCCTGAGGTCTGTGGCGTTCATTGGGCGAGGCTTGGGGCGTGACTGGGGGTCGCTCCCCTGGAGGAGGCGGCGACCCTCCTCCTCCTCCGCCTCCCCCGCCCCCTCCTCCTGATTGGGGTCGTTCCGCAAAGGCCCCCCCCCCGCTGGGGCCCTCGCCTCCGCGGGCCCGGCCGGCCGCGTCCGCAGAGGCGCCCGCACGCGAGATCCCGGGCCCAGGAGGAGCCTCGCGCCGAGTCGGGCCTGTCCCCGTACAGGCGGAAGATTCAGAAAGAGCCAAAAATAGTGGGGACGTTTCTATCTGAATATGTTTGGCTGAATCGTATGGGGACGATTTGTTCGCACATGTTTGCACATGTTTTGAGTACTTGTGATTTGTCGTGCAAGGTCCGCCTGTAGGGGGACATGCGCGACCTGAGCCTCGCGCCGGATGCGGCGAGGCGGTGGCCCCCCCCGACCCTCGGCGGCGCGCATTGTCGGGGCGGGCGAGGGGGGCGGCCTCCTTATCGGGGGCGCGCCAGGCATGCCCGAGCGATCCACGGACGTGGCGCGCGGTCGTCAAATCCGTGGATCGGGAGCGGCCAAGGAGGGAGGTGTCCAAGAGGGGGGGGTGCAAATCATAACCGGCGGCATGTGCGCGGCCCAGCGGGGGGGCCAGGGACGCAATGAAGCAAGAAGAGGCGCCATGGAATCTGGGGAGATATCATGGCCCCCGCCATGATATCCACCCCCCCCCTAGTCATCGCCCTCCTCTTTACCGCCCCCGAATGGATCGGGGGAGGCGCCCTCCCCAAAATGCGGCCGGTGCCGCCTCGCTCGGCGGCGGAAGTCCGCGATTTCACATGGAAGCGGGACCCGTCGCCAATCCACGCCCCCTCGATCCATGTGTGCGATCGCCTGATTCTATGGGGCGCACAGGGACATACGAATACAATGTGTCCTCCTTCGAGGTGCGCGTCCGACCCGAACATATAGCGCAAGCCTCGCGAAAAAATAGCCAACGCTCATGCCACATTCACCCGTCAACGCCTCCCCATCCCCCCAGTGTTCAAAGTTGGCGTTGGGTCTGATGAGTTGCACCTCGACCGCAGTCTCCCCCGCGCGTGCCAGCTTTGAGTTTGGGGGCGCGAGTGTTCAGTAATCATTTCCCTCTACAGTATACCCATCTTGTAGTGTATCGTTTCCCGAGCGGTGTGGCCAGAAAGCGCCCGCCACGACGCATATACTATGAGATTTCTCAGTGCGCGCGTCTCCCCTGGGGGGGCGACGCACACATGGTATAAGCATGTTGGGGTGACGCCGATTCTAAGAAGGCCCAGGGGATGCCTGGACACGGAACAGCAAGAATCGCAAGAGACAGCACAAGCCGAAACTTTCGGAGGCCCGCGCGGATCTCTGGGATCGTCGCCGGGCATCCCCTCCCCATGGCGCGCGGAGCGCGCAAGAGGCGTCGCCAGGGGGGGGTCCAGCGTCGATCCAAGGGCGTGCGAGCGAGCGCGCGTCCATCCGGCTCTGCTGCGAGTAGAGCCGCGCCCGTCTTGGCGGGCCGAGAGAAGCCGTGGCCCTCGAAAAAACCCTGGCACGACGTCGTGTCGCGGCGTGCAAATTGCATCGTAGATGTCATCGCGCCGCCCGTGAGTAGGCTCCCCCGGCGCACTGCCGTCCAGCGCCGACCAAAGGAGTCCTCGCGGACCCTCTTTTTTAACTGTTTTTCTCTCGGCCCCGCGACGGATAGCACGCGCGAAGGGCTGGAAAGACGTGCGCCTCCTGTGGTCCGCTCTCGCCCAGGCTGGCCACGCCATGTTCATGTAGCACCCTGGCAGGTCCGCAGTCAAGAGGAGGAAGAGGAGGAGGAGCAGGAGGAGGAGGACGGCGACGACAACATGGGAGGAAGGGCGAGGAGCAGTCGGGGCGAAATCCGCAGCATGAGCCCCCGGACTCAGTCACGCAGCTCTCTCCCGCTCCTTCCCTCAAAACCGACTCCTCAGCCCGGGTCTTGCCACTGGCGGCGCTCGGGCCCAGAAGCGGCCCCCAGGGGCTCAGAAATGGCGCAACGAGATCGCCCGCGACAGCTCTTCCCGAGGCGCCCGCGGAAAGAAGCGGCTCCAGAAAGACAGAAACCGGACCGAATGGAGGCGGGCCCAGTCGCTGACGGAGTGCAGGCCTCGGCTGCTCTCGTCCACCTCCTCCTCCCCCTCCTCGCCCTCCTCCTCTGCAACATCCTGCCGCTCGCGGAAGGAAAGAGAAAGAGGACCATGACCAAGCGTGAACGCGAAATCGTCGGTGCCGATCCAGGTCATCGTCTGTCTTGGTCATCGTCGATTCGTGGATCATCCTGGCGCGCATCGGCGACGACCGACATGGATGGACCATGGCCAAGACCGTTGTCGACAAGATACCGCGAGAGCCAGGTCACGGTCCTCGTGTTTCTTCCCTCGGGTTGGTAGGGCTTCGGGCCGCGCACACAATGTTCTTTATACCCAAGGGGATCTCCAGAGGGCCCGCTGAGCTCCCAAGGCTTCGGACGGCGATCCTCGGTGCCCACGGCCCCGTGGCATACGACCGCGAGGCCGATTGCCAAACGGCAGGGAACAAACACGGGCGAGCGAAGCGAGGAGGAGGGAGCAGGAGGGCCGAGAAGGACGAGCGAGCTGCGAGGCCTCCCCGGGTCGTGTCGGCACCCCGGCGCCCGCTCCGCGCCCCGGGCCTGGCGCGCCGAGACCGCCCCAGGACTGCTCGAGGGCCCCCCGCGGGGGGCCGGCTGGCAGCACTGTCGGGGGGGGGCGGGCTGGGGCCAGCCGAGGGCTCTGGCCGTGCGCAGCTCGAGGCCTCTGACCACCTCGAGCCTCGGCCCCCCCGGCGGGGCCCAGCGCGTAGGACAGCTCGTCGTCCTGGAAGGTCATGGTGTCCGTGCCTCAGTGGGCCCTGGAAACGACAGGGCCGTTTCTGTGCCGGCTCCGTTTTGCCGTTTTTGTTGCCGGTTCCGACGCCGTTCTTTTACCGGTTCCGTCGCCGTTCTTTTACGGGTTCCCGCTCCGGCTCCACTCCTGGAGCCGTTCTTGTTGCCGTTTCCGGTCGCCGTTTTTTTGCCGTTTCCACTTTTTCGGAAACGGTGAAAAAACGGCCCTGCCGTTTCCGGGGCCCACTAAGGTCCGTGCCCCACGTGCCGCTGTCGTCCCTGCCCTTATCCCTGGTGACCACCTCGGGGGGGGGGGGCTGAGGGCGGAGCAAGAGCGAGGGCCGAGGAGGAGGGGGAGGCGGAGGAGAGGAGGAGTCGAGGAGTCGGGGGACGAGGAGGAGGGACCGAGGGAGGGAAGCAGAGGAGAGGGACCGAGAATTGAGGATCGAGGATCGTGCAAGACGGGTGGGGGTTGCATGTGGCAAGGGCATGGGACTGGGTGGACGCACAGAGGCAGAAGGTCGGAGGAGAAGGACTGCCGCGGCAGGAGCACACTGCCGAGCTCAGCACCACCACAAGGAACGCCAAGCAAAGCAAGACACGAGAAGCCTGTTCGGGACCCCCAGAGGCGCGGAGGCACACGGGAAGCGCTGGAGGAACAACAACAGTGGAAGGATCCTGCGGGACAGCCGGCCTCGTCCAAGCCCAAACTGTTCCTTGTTCTAGCGTCTTGGCTATAGTTCGAGAAGGGAATCAACTACAGAATTGATTTACCCCGAAATTGACTTGTTCGTCGAGTCTGCGAAAAAAATGTCGAATGCCTGGTAGAGCATTCTACGCATTCGTTCGTAGACTCGACCGGAAATCAATTTTGAGGTAAATCAGTCCGTAGTCGATCCCCTACTCGAATAGTAGCGGAAGACACGTGTCCGGGAGGCCGTCTCTGACACCGCGCGAATCGTTGAGCCTTGAGAGACTTCGACTTTCTGGCAGCACATCGCTCGATGTCGACCGACTCAAGGCCACTGGCGGCGTTCCACCTCGAACGACCGTGCTGGGGTCGCAGCCGCGTCGACACGACACGAATCTACAGTAACAGCAGGGGGGGAGGACAGATGACAACAGGGAAGGGGGAGGCTGGGGAGGAGGGCATGAAAGTGGGGGAAGGAATCACAGACCGTGGAAAGAGAAAGACGGCACAGCAGCGCGTGGACGACGAATAAACAGATGGCGACGAGACAAAAGCAGGGAGGGAGAAAAATAAAGAGAAAGAGGAGAAAGATATGTAGATTGAGGAGACTGGTAAGCGGTGGAGGAGGACGAGGCTGAGGAGCACGAAAAGGATAGCGCGAGAAGGGGGAGTGGATAAGAAAGAGAAAGAGAGAGAGAGAGAGAGAGAGAGAGGGAGAGAGAGAGAGAGAAAGAGAGAGAGAGAGAGAAAGAGAGAACAAAAAAGAGAACAACAATGGAGAGAAAGAGAGAAAACGAGACATCGAAAGAGACACAAACGAAGAGGGAGAGCGAGGAAGGGGGGATACAGAGAGAGGATGGAGAGAGAGAGAGAGAGAAACTGTATATATATATATAGAGAGAGAGAAAGATAAAGAAAGGGAGAGAGAGAGAGAGAGAGGGAAAGAGAGAGGGAGAAAGGGAGAAAGGGAGATAGGAGAAGAGACAAGGGAGAAAGGGAGAGAGCCGGGAAGGACGCAGTCGTGGCTCCCCCGAGCCGAGAGCCGAGCGGGAGCAAAGGCAGTGACGGGAAGCACCGACGAGGGCGGCGGGCAGCGGGACCCGACGAGGACCCGACGAGGACCCGACGAGGACCCGACGAGGACCCGACGAGGGCGGCAAGGGGGACACGGCGAGGGCTGCGGGCGACGGGGAAGGACCCGACCTGGCTCTGGGGTTAGGTCGGGCATGTCCCCCCTGCAGGCGGATGTTGGGCGAAAAAGAACAGATGCCCCAAAGATGCTCAAAAGTCGTCAAAAATGGTCGAACACTCGTCCCCCGACTATGTTTTGACTCTTTTGGGGATACTCCTCCCGCAGAGGGACACACGCCCGACTGAACTCTGGGGGGCGGGCCGCGGGGCTCCCCCGCTGCGACGCCCAGGCCACCGACTCCTTGATGCGGTCGTAGTACCCTCGGCGGCCAGGCAGCGGGGGACGACTAAGACGACGACGACGACGACGACGACGACGACGACGACCAGGAAGACGACGACGATGACGGAAGGAGAACGAGGGGGGCGGGGACCCGGGCGGGCGAGGGCAGGAAAGGCGAGGACGAGGACGACGACAAGGGACGACGGAATGCGTCATCGGCGCAGGATGCGTCCAACCCGGGGGCTTGCGAGCACAAGCCTTCCAAGCCTGCCCCGCCAGCCCCCGACGGGGCCACAGGCGCGCGAAAATCTCTGGCAACAACTCCATATAATGCTTCTCGTTCGCGCGCGAGCGCGCGGCTGCCCCTGGAGGCCCCCGGACGAGGAGCACCCCGCGCAAACAAGTCCCGTGCGGTCCCCGGGCACGTCCCCGGCGGCCCCTGGTCAGGAGGGAAAAAAAAAACACAGACACAATTAATCGTCGATTCCCCAGAAAATATAAGAAAATATGGGAAGTGGGGGGGACGACAGAAACCCAGAAAATATAGGAAAATATAAGAAATATGTTTATTTGTATATTTATTTGTGTGTCCTGGGGCCCCTTCACCTGGGCGGCCCCCGTCGCGGGTGCCGGAACTCTCCAGGGCCTCGAGGGCTGCCTTCGGGGCCTGCCTTCCGGGCCTGCCGTCACGGATCCCTTGGGGGCTGCCTCCAGGGCCTTCAAGAACGTCTCCAGAGGCCCTCAAGGCGGTCAAAGAAGGCCCAGCCACCAGAAATCGTTCCAAGATGCCCAGGATAGCCTCCAGGCGGCTTCAGCCGCCTCCAAGACGCCCGAAGATGGCTCCAATACCATTCCCAAGAAGCCCCCCTAGAGGCAAAACTCAATGATCTCCAATTGGTTTTCGAAGGATTTCAGCGTTCTCACCTTTTCGGCCGCCGACACTATAAGACGGCCCAGGAAGCCCCCAAGATCGCTCCAAGACGGCCCATGAAGCCCCTTAGAGAATCCCAGCCTGGCCCACGGTGACTCCAGGACGGCCCAAGTTTCCCCTAAGACGACGCTGGAGAGCCGCAAGACAACTTCAGGAAGACCCTCTCGAGGGGGAGCCCCAACTGACATTTCGAACGCTCAGCCTCAAAATCGCCCCCAGAGCCACTTCAATATCGATCTGACCATCGATCTGTCACTATCGATATCACTGCGATCTCGCTATCGGTCTCACTAATTATCTGTCTCACCGTCGGTCGCACTATCGATCTCACTGTCGATCTCACCACGGGACACTGGCGGGACACCGACGAGACATCGACGGGACACCGACGCGACGGGACAACACCAGGACACTATCGGAACACCAATCGCCAATCGGGGCACTTATCAGGACACCACCAGGACAACATCGAGACATCATCGAAACACCACCATTGCACCATCAGGACACCCATCGGGACACCAATCGGAACACCCACGGGACACAAATCGGGACACCATCGGGACACCGACGGTACTCCGACCGGACACCGACGAGACACCGACTCGAACAGCGACGGGACAGCGACGGGACAGCGACGGGACAGCGACGGGACACCGACGGGACAGCGACGGGACACATCAGGGAACCGACGGGACACCGACGGGACACCGACGGGACACCGATGGGACACCGACGGGACACCACGGCGAGACACCCCCACACCGCCCGCCCGCCGGAAGGGGCGGTCTTTTATCTTGCCCCGCCCTGGCAACAGCGGAGTCATGCCTCTCGCCCGCCCACGCAGCTCCGCCTCGCTCGCACGCACGACACGAGCCCGAAACCGGAACCGATTTGCCGATGGGGGGCTCTAACCTCTGACAATCATATGGGAGGGCAGGATGAGGGAAGCGATTAAAATAAACACGAGAGCCCACCCGGCGGACGACATAATGAATGTCACGCAGATTGAGAAGGGCCCAGCGGGCCCTGACAGACCAAAACAGGTTTTCAGGGACGCGCGCAACGACGCGTGAGGGGAAGAGGGAAAGGAGGGGGAAGGAAAAGATTGGCGAATTGGAATCAAGACCCCCCTCCGGTGTGTTCTGCATGCGGGGCTGGGGAAAGAATGATCGCACGTCCAAGGGTATAGTTACTAGAACCAAGCAATCACACACAAACACACAGGAGCACCGCCCACCGACCACCCACAGTACCGATGACACACCATCCAGTCAATGCCCACACACTAACTGCACCCACGCATCCATCAAACAATCATTGGCACGCCCACCTGCAAGACGAGAGCACCCATTCACGCGCTACCCTTCCATCGCACACGCAGCCTCCGCACATTGAACACGAAGGCGGCGATCTGTTCGTGCACAGACGTGACTGCAAGGAAATATACCCCAAGGTCTGGGTATGTGGGGGATTGGTTAGATTCGACCATGGACAAGGTTATGCAATTCACATTCGGGCATGCCCAACCAAAACGTCAGAGCAGCGATACGCCTGCGAACCGTCGCTACGTTTGTAATGCCTGAATGATGCGCGAGCGGTGGGTGGGTGGTGTGTGCGTGGAGGGGAGATGGCGGCAGGCGAGTGGAGCTGTGGCACGTGGGCAATCGGTGGTTGACGGGTGGTGGCTGGATGGTGGGTAAAACCACGGCCAGAGCCCTAACCCCAACCTTTTCGCGGCGCCTCTCGAGCTGGATCCGTCCGTGCGGGCCCTGGGGCCTGCCATAGGGCGGAATCGCCCGGTGTGGGACATTGCTGCGACGCCAGGATCGCAAGTTCCCTCCTCCATCCTCCCTTCTCTCCCCCGTATCACCCTCACCCCGGTACGCCCCGGCAACCCATCGCGCAAACAAAGGCGCGACACGACAGGGAACACAACACGCGCTGCAAGATGTTCCTTCCGCTCCGTCACCTCCTCTGCCCGCCGCTTCCACTGAGGAAACCAAACGGTACCGATACCGCTACTCCCTGGACCTCTCCCAGGTGCGTTCTGACCAGGATTTCAAATCGAATCCAGCCGTGGCGACGAGAGCCTCCCAGGAGACCCAGAAAGGCGAAAGCGACGCCTCCCGCCGCACGCAGCGCAACCTCCGACAAGACGCGCGGCACTCCCCCATCCTGACTACTTGCCAAACCACTCCAACCCAAGACGAAGTCACCGCTGGCCTCGTCGACTTCTGGAGGGGGGTCGCACTCCGAAGCATTGAGGAAACACGATGGACCCCATACACCCTCCAACCCGAAATCCGGGGTGGCCTAGGCTTAAGTCGGGCGTGTCCCCCTACAGGGGGATTTGCGACAAAAATATATAAATGTCAGAATGACCCCAAAATGGTCGAAAAATACTCAAAAAATAATCCCCAGACTATCTTTTGACTATTTTTGAATATCCCTCCTGCAGAGGGACAGGCCCGATTTAAGCCCAGGACCTTCGGATGGTGTGCGGGTGGCCTGGCAAGTAGTGCCGTCTGGGCGCCCAGCGCGGGCCTGGCACCTTCGTCTCCACCGCGCTGAGCACCTTGAGCTCGGCGCCCCTGCGGCCGCGGACGCCCCCGAAGATGGCGAGCTTCTCGTACTCCCGGTTGCGGCCGGTGCCGACCTGCGGAGGAGGAGGAGGAGGAGGAGGAGGAGGAGGAGGAGGAGGAGGAGGAGAGGGAGGAGCAGGAGGAGGAGGAGGAGGAGGAGGAGGAGGGGAAGAGGAGGAGGAGAGGGAGGGCAGGAGGAGGAGGAGGAGGAGGAGGAGGAGGAGGAGGAGGAGAAGAGGAGGAGGAGGAGGAGGGGAGGAGGAGGAGGAGGGAGGAGGAGGAGGAGGAGGAGGAGAAGGAGAGGAGGAGGGGAGGAGGAGGGGGGGGCAGCTCGTAAAGGGGGCTCGAAGGAGGAGGGGGAGGAGGAGGAGGGAGGAGGAGGAGGAGGAGGAGGGCGGGGCGACGACGGCGACTGCACGACGACCAGGGCGAGCGAGCGGGTCCAGAGCCTGCAGGTGGACCACTAGCAGGCCAAAGGCCTCCTCCTCCTCCCTCTCCCCCTCCTCCTCATCCTCCTCCTCATCCTCCTCCTCCTCCTCCTCCTCCTCCCCCTCCTCCTCTTCCTCCTCCTCCTCCTCCTCTTCCTCCTCCTCCGCCTGCCAGTCCGAGCAGGCAGCGAGGGGCGAACCGCTGGGAGGCCTACGCGCCTGCTGGGCTACTGCACCGCAGCGGTGGGCAGGGCAGTCCACGACAACGGCCTGGCAATGAGCCGAGAGCCCCGGGTAGGAGGAGGAGCTCACTCGCCTACGACGACCAGTAGGGGGAGGGGAGCGCGAGAGACGCAGGGGAGGGGGGGGGACGGAGAAGGCGACGGGGACGGGAGGGAGGGAGGGGAGGAAAAGGAGGGGGGGAAAGGAGGGCAGGGCAAGGGGCGGGCGGAGGGGCGAGGGATGAGGCAGGAGGCAGGAGGCAGGAGGGGAGTGATCGAAAAGGGCGAAGGGAGGAGAGGGGGAGAAGAGAGGAGGACGAGGAGGGGGGAGGAAAGGAAGGAGGGAAAGGGAGGAGGGATGGAGGACAGGAGGGAGAAAGAGGGGCGATCAGGAGCGAAGCAGGTAGAGGGCGAAGGAGAAAAAAGAGAGGGGGGTGGAGGTGGGAAGAAGGGGGTGTAAGAATTCCGTCATTTCGACCCCGCTCTTGTTACGATGTTCCCCCAAGGTGGCCTTGCAACTCCGAGGCCATGCACCGCCCACCACGACAGCAAGCATAATGCCCGCAAATCTAGAACCGCCAACATGGACAGTGCCCACCTGATTAAGCAGACGTCGCAACGAATACGTGTCAACGGCCCCTCGGATATGTCAACATCTTTATATAGATCAAAAAACAAGCCCATCATCAGGAAACCGCCAATCATGATCAGAATTCGGTAGCGCCCACTCCGACGGCCCTCTGAGGGAGCCAGCTAAAGGAAAGCATATACGTCAAGCTCGATGACAGCGGCCCTCTGACATGCCTTGCACATTGAATATCGCCTGCTGGTTGAAGCGTTGCCAACGCCTTACTCCAAGCCCTTTCGGACATCCGGTCTTATCTCTTGGTGATGCGGCCATTGCTGAAACCACGAAGAGAAAGTACCGTGAACAAACTTATGGACAGGGTCTTGCTCGGGCGCCTGTACAGCCGAAAGATTGGCCAAACACCTTCTTTTGGTACGCACCTGACACGACGCACTGAGTGCGCGCCGATGTTGACACAGATACGTCTGAAGGCGCCATGCAATTGATATCCATAATTGCCCACTGCTTGGCCATCCTGCTCCTCCAGGCGAGAAGAAGCGCTGGCCCTATGCAAGGTACACCTGAATCTGCGAGTTTCATATGTCGATCAACATGCTTAAGTACTCTTTTTTGCCGCTGATCTCGAACATGTCGTCGCCCGCCACCAAGGTCTGCATCTGAGTAAGCACAGCTGCGAGCTGCCTGCATCACAATGCCCGTCTTCCTGAAGGGCACTGACGATAGCAACTGTGTCAGCATGATGAATGCATACCTCAACCAGCTTGTGGGCAAGATTCAAGCCCTGACTTTCAAATCCAGCCACCGTCTGCGAAGCACAATTCATTACCTCCTTCCGAACTTGCCGTCGAGAACCATTGGCAGATTGAGGTGAATCATCGATCCACAACCGGTGATTTGACCGAACATTCGCCTGACGTATCTTATATATTACATAAAGAGTCCGGGTGCGCGCAGAGCGCGTTAGAGAACGCAAGCCCTGGATGATGAAGCGCGAGACCTCGAACGGTGCTGAGAACGCGGACGCCTGATTCAATGTCCGAGGGGATGCGCACTGAACCAGCTCAAGGTAGGAGTACTGTCGGTGGGAAATCCAATCGCACTGCTACTTGAACAAGTTTGAGTCAAAACATCGTGTCGCAATCAGATTCAAGATCTATCAAATTGTGCCCATATGGAATGTCGAACGCCGCCGACACCTCCTCATCTAGAAGCCTTCGAAAGGCCTCCTGCAACGACGAGTTTCTTGTGACAACCGCGTCCCAAGAGGGCTGTGAATCCGCTGTCCATCGCTGAACCCATGGCTCACGAGCTTTGCTCCACACCCTTCCTAGCATAGATATGCGCCCACTTCTCCGATCTCCAGAGGCCTTCTTCGGAGCTTTCCGAAAACCACCAAGGTCGGGGCAGGCCAGACAAGAAGAGCTTCCACACAACTTAGCAAGTCAGCTAGAGCACTTAACCCGACATCAGAGAGACGCTCGCGATCCCCAGGAGAAACCTGATCCACTCCAAGACCTGTCTTACTCTTCATACCCCGCAAGGCACGATGAAGATCAACAACATTAAGAGGAGGAAGGGAATCAGGATTGCCACGAACGGCGGCACGAACGATACCCAACACCGACGCCAAGGCCGCTTTGCCCAGCGCGGCCCTAGCGTCCGACGCGGACGCCCAGCGCGGCGGGGATAGGAGGAGGAGCAGGATGAGGAGGAGGAGGAGGATAAGGAGGAGGAGGATAAGGAGGAGGAAGAGGAGGCCATCCATGCACTTCATGTCCCCTCTCACCATTCCACCCACACACCCCTTTCTCCACCGTGCTCCCTAACCCCTTCACCCTCCGCGTCCGCCCCCCCTTCAACGTCCGACTCCCCCCTCCGCCCTACCCCTCTCCCCCCTCCCACAGCCATTCCACCCCCCCCCCCGCTCCTCTCCCCCCTCGGCCCCATCCCCATCGTCCCGCCCCTCTCTCCACCGCCGCCCTCGGCCCACATCCGCGCGCTGTGCACCTGCCCTCACCCCTCTCCCCTCCTCCTGCCAGGCCTCGGCGGTGCCTGGCGCGCTGTCTGAGCAGGGCCGAGAGGGCGGCCGAGCCAGATCGTAGGCGGCCATTCCCTCCTCTTCGCTTCCCCTCCCCCTTCCCTCCCCCTCACCCTCCCCTCCTGTCCCATGATGGTTCCCTTCCCCTCCTTCTCCCCTCGCCTTTTCTCCGCTCCCGCGCTCCCCACCCCACCGAGCGGGGCCTCGCAGAAAAACATCAGGGTGCCCCACTCCTCCTCGATGGTCCGCAGGAAGTTTCCTCGAGGTGGCCCGGGCAAGGAACGAAGGAACGAGGGGGAAGGGGGAGGTGGCGGGGGGGATGAGGAAACGCAGGGGAGATGAGGGGAGTGCGAAATGAGGCAGAGGGCGGGGGGAGGAGGGAGGATGGAAGAGGTAGGATCAGCCAGTATCGGACCGGGAAATCGGATCGAAACGGATCGGGCTGGATCGGCACGGAATCCAAATCGAATGGGACTGGCTGCGCCAGGATGAACAAAAGCGCCAAGCAAGCATCAGGCCGCGTCGGATCGCAGGGGAAATCAAAAATGAGCCCGATCGAAGTGACCAGCACTGGTATCAAATCGGATCGATCTGATCGAAATGGGCATTGACCAGGAGGGAAGAACCAGGTGATGATTCTGAAATACTCAGCGCACCTCGGGTGACACTGACACTATACGTAGTCGTAGTCACCTCTGGTTCGTCCCCTCAGCTATCACCAATCATCACGCCATCACGATCATCATCACCACCACCGTCATCATGGTTACCATCATCATGGCAAGCTCTGAAGTATCACCAACGCCTTGATCTTACGGTGCGTCCTCCTCGTCCTCGCCCTCTTCGTCGTTTCCAAGCCCCTCATGCTCCTGATCCTGATCATCCTGTCCTCCCCATCCTCGTGCTTTTCTGCTCGCTCTTCTCTCTCACTCTCTCTCTCTCTCTCTCTCCCTCCCCCACATCATCCTCAAATCGCTTCTGTCCCCCGTCCCCCCCCGCAGTGATCCGTATGATCTTCGTGAAGCGTCCAATCATTCTCCTCCACCACCTCACCTTCCACCTCGTCCTCCTCCTCCTCCTCCCGCTCCTCCTCCTCATAGTCCTCATCCTCATCAGCAGCGGCGGCATCGTCATCGTCATCGTCATCGTCATCGTCATCATCATTAGCATCAGCATCAGCATCAGCATCAGCATCAGCATCAGCATCAGCATCATCATCATCATCAGCATCAGCATCATCATCATCATCATCATCATCATCATCATCATCATCATCATCATCATCATCATCATCATCATCATCATCATCATCATGGGCATCGTCAGTATCGCAAGCGTCATCCTCATCATCAACGTTGGTACCAGCATCAGCATCAGCATCAGCATCATGATCATCATCAGCATCATCACCATCCTCCTCCTCCTCATCATCATCTTCATCATCATCCTAGTTTTCACCATCATCATCATCATCATCATCATCATCATCATCATCGTCGTCGTCGTCGCCATCGTCATCGTCATCGTCAGCATCATCAACACCGTCAGACTCATCAACATCATCAGCAGCAGCAACAACAACCCATCCTCCTCCAGTTCCTCCTCCTCCTCCTCCTCCTCTTCCTCCTCCCGCTCCTCCTCCCCCTCCTCCTCTTCCTCATCCTCCTCCTCATCCTCTTCCTCCTCCTCCTCGTAATCATTTCCACCGTCAACAACACTATCAACAGCGTCATCAGAATCACCATCAGGATCAGCAACCTCGTCACCAACATCATAAGCAGCAACATGATCTTGACGTCCCACCTACTTCCCAGTCCGCCTCCTACTTCACCGCTCTCCTCATTCCCCTACTACCCACCTCCGCATCCTCCTCCACCAACTCTTCCTCGTCATCGTCATCATCAGCAGCATCGTCATCACCCTCATCGTCGTCATCATCATAATCAGCATTGTCGTCATCAACAGCACCATCATCATCAGCATTATCATCATCAGCGGCATCGTCGTCATCATCACCAGCATCCTCATCATCATCATCATCATCATCATCATCATCATCATCATCATCATCATCATCATCATCGGCAGTATTCTTACCTTCGTCATCCTCCTCATCATCATCATCATCATCATCATCATCATCATCATCATCATCATCATCATCATCATCTGCTATCCTGACCAGCGTCCTCCCCAACACCCCATTATCCCCATCTCTTGAAACCACCAGACCACATCAATCACCAAATGAATCATCGTCGAGGTCGCTGTCCTCATCGCCGTCATCATCCTCCCTACCACCACAACCACCTTCATCATCATCAGTAGCATCATGAGCATCATCATCATCAGCAGCATCATCATCATCATCATCATCATCATCATCATCATCATCATCATCATCATCATCATCATCATCATCATCAGCATCAGCATCAACATCACCATCAACATCATCATCATCATCATCATCATCATCAGCAGCAGCAGCAGCAGCATCAGCATCAGCATCAGCATCATCAGCATTGTTATCATCATCAGCCAGCATCACCATCATCGCCAGCAGCATCATTCTCACCAGCATCATCATCATCATCATCATCATCATCAGCATCATCATCACCATCCTTATCGTCAAGATCATCAGCAGCATCGTCAGCACAACCAGCATCATCGACAGAATCATAATCAACACCAAAATCATCAGCAGCACCATTAATATGATCATCATCACCATCATCCTCATCATCCTCATCATCATCACCACCACCATCATCGTCATCATCGTCATCAGCATCATCAGCAGCAGCATCATCGTCATCGCCATCACAATCATAATCATCATAATCATCATCATCATCATCATCATCATCATCATCATCATCAACATCAACATCATCATCGTCGTCATCATCATAATCAGCATCATCATCAACAACATCGTCACCACCACCACCAACCAACACCACCGTAATCATGATCATTACCACCGTCCCCACCACTCCCTTCATGTGCCCTCCTCCTCCTCCTCCTCCTGCCCCCTCCCGGGCAGCAATCTGAGGCGGATCAGGAGCTAACTCCTGCTTCTCCCTTCAAAAGACGACGTACTCTTGATCCCAGGCCCCCCGCCGGTACCCTCGGAGGCCTCTCCCAGCCGCCTCCGCCCCCCCTCATCCTCTTCCCCCCCTCCCTCCCTCCACTTCCTTGCCCTTCCCATGCCGGGGGAGGCGCCGATCGGAAGAGGCGCGCAACCCTCCTGCCCTGCCCGTCACGAACCCGACGGCCTCCTGGGGCACCTGCAGCATCGTCAGGTCCCCGTCGTCGTAGTCCTGCCGCGAGGAAGCTATCCACACCATATTGGTCGTACTCCTCGTCCACTCTGTCTGTCCTCGATGTAAACAATTCGCCATTGTCGCATCGCCAGACGTGTCCGTAGGACGGGCCCCGTCGGCTGGGCCGCGCGTGTCGCTTGAACCTCCATTCAAGTCGATGTCATGGGCCGCTTTCCAGACTGCGGCTTTCACTGATGGAAGGGGTGGGTTTCAAAAGTTGCTCTCGCCTCGGCGACGAGTACATCACTCTAGAGCTTCCAACAGCTGCACAGGATGAGGCTGCTTCGTCGTCAAAATGCGGTTCTCGCGAGGCTTCCTCATACTATCCGACCCTAAATTCTTTAGTGTGCATCGTCGACACGGATGGGATGGACAGCGGCTCCTTCTCCCCGATTAGCGTTGCCTAAAGAGTTCTTACTTGGTTAAAGGTTGGCGCCTCGGAATGTTACTTTGCCCGTTCCTCGGAGACTCCTCGGGTTCCTCGGCTTCCTCGGGATCCCCGCCCCTGGTGCCTCCTACTGTTGCGTTGCCAAGTTCCCGCAGATTCCTCGGGTTCCCCGGGTTCCTCGGGTTCCCCGCCCCCGGTGATTCCCATTGTTACGTTGCCCGTTCCTCGGAAGTTCCTCGGGTTCCCCGGGTTCCTCGGGTTCCGCGCCGCCGCCACACCAGACTGGACCGTGTCACCCGTTCGCTGACGCACGCACGTGCAATCATACCACCACGTCAGTCTCCACCATGTCACGCGGTCGGTGCTGCTTGCAGCCGGTTGGCTCAATCGCGCCAAAATGCTCTGGGAGCGTCATCCGTGCGGTCGCGATGCTACTACTCCCACAAAGAGGCGCTGAAAAAACCACAACCCGGAACAGCGCAGATGTGTTCCGATAGGTCGACTCGGCGATCCGATGTACGGAGGACGCACACACTCCGGGGTTCCGTGGGGAGGCACCAACTTCCCAACCGCCATCGTTACCAGCGCAAGGGGAGCACTCTCCGCAGATCACCACACCGCGGGACGGTCTTTGCATGGCTTACGCTTGCACCGCGGCTCGCAATGCAAAGCGATGGCGAGACGAATACGGAGAACAGGGGTTCGTCGGCCAGGCTGCAGGGCAGCAGAAGGAAGGGAGGCTGCAGCCGCAAGAAATTCCGCGCGACAGCATGCTGCAGCTCGTGCGAGAATACACCGCGTGCCGCCAACAGCGACGTGCACGCCACGAGTGGTGGGCGACAAAGATTTTGCGAACGGGACGCTGCCAGAAATGAGCGACGTACCATTCTACGCAGCGTGCCTGCGGGGTCGCATCGACGTGGTTCCATTGGGAGATGCGGACTATCAGGGAACTGCCGTGATCGGCTCCAGCCCGCTACGCAGATCGGTCGGAAACTTGCAGGCGGAAGGCGGAGGCGGGACGTTCAAGGGCCATTTCGTGCTGCTCCAAAACTGGCTGCCTGATCAAGGAGATCCCTGTGATATGGTTGACGCGGCGCTGGAAAACCCGCCCGCGAGAGCTGCGTCACCTGTGAGAAAGGCAGGGGACTCGGCCTCGCCAGGACACAAGCTCCAAGCCACGAACGCCACAAATCCAGGGCTGGACACAGTGCGCACCACTACCGTTGAAAAACCTTTTGGATCGACTGCGTAGCGTTCGTCTGTTGTGCGGGACGGCCAAACGATAGAAGATATACTAGCGACCTTACGATTCGTTCCGACAGAACCCCACGAAGCATTGCTGGCCAAGGGCATGGAAACGCTGCTGACATGGAAGAAGAGCACCGCCGGAAAAGTGGCCTCCAACGCCGAAGGCGACGAGATAGGCAAGGTTGCCAGCAGGCATGGTGCAAAAATGGAAGCAGCAGGGAGAAAAAAAAACGCGCACCGCAGGACCTGGCC